GTCGTAGCTTTTCTTTTGGATCTGTACGGATATCACTTATAACGTTTACAAATGTTTCAGATATGTCTCGATCAACGTTTCTACTGGCCTAGTTCGGCTAACATTAAAAGAAAGCAAAACCTCAAATTTAAAAACGAATGTTTGTCCGTTTCATATCTTGGTTGCTCTCTTGAACAAACACTAAATACTTAGTTTGGACTCATAGTGTTTATTTGGACTGATAGTCTCGATTAGCGTTGACGTTAATTTTCAATGAATAACGATGCATAACATCGCTTGCATTTGGAAAAATTCGCAATAATAATCGTGGCTTTTAGGAAGTAAATTTCTCTGAACGCATCAGGGTTATCAATTAAGATCACAAATCGTCCTTTGATGTTGTCAACACTTACTCTTAATATATGCTTGCTACGTAAGGAATAACATCATTTCAGTTCTCCTACGGCATGTCTATCGTTCAAGTGCATAATAAGGAGTACGTATATGCTTACATAGGGTATATATATATATATATACATTGGAGTTTTCAGTTATCGTTAAATATCCTGGATAATGTAGTCGATAATCTTATCGTAGACGTGGACTTCTTCAACGAAGCCAACTAAATATTGTGCGCACTCTTATATGAGTGCACTAATGGAACAGGTGCAACGCTTGATAAAACTTTAAAGAGTTTTTAAAATTTTAGGGATACACATAAATGATCTTCAATGCTCCAATTAGATTTAGAATGTATTCGTTACGTTCACCATGTAAAAGACTACCGTTATGTTTATAGTACAACCTGTGGCGGTATATATTTAACATTTAGCGTACAATCACACCGTCTGTGTAGGTGGTTGATAGGAAAAGAAAACCCAATTATCTTAGAGAGACAAGTACTTTTGTAGGAAACAATCTTCGCCGTCCTTGTAGGGAATATGCTTGTCAGGCACCAGATCATCATGGGTCTGGGACAACAAGATGATCAAACGAAGGGAGCACATTATCTTTCAGATCCAAGAATAGTTAAGCAGTCCGATTGCAGGAGACAACATACCATCAACGATTCGAACGGATAAGAATTAGGTAAGACAAACTAAGAGCACTTACTTTCCACTTGACTGTTGACAAGCAATTAAAAAAAGATCTCTGGTCCCTCCGATTTTACAGCTGTCAGCTGACCGTACTTGCAGTGCTGTTGTGAAATTACGAATGCAGCGATCCATGTCAATGAACAATGTCTAAACGTATTGAAATAATGAATATTAGACAAAAACATTATACAGTCGTCTCTCGCTTCACACGATTAAGTCGTACCATGCTCTTTCGAATCCGTGTTGTACGACACTTTTTGATTTTTTTATTTAAAATTTAAACTTTGGTATAAGATAAATAAAAATAAAGTACACCATGTTGTGTCGAAACCTTATTTGTGTTGTATAGATATCGTGTTATAAGGTATTTTGAAGTAACGTAAATTTTAATCTGTGCTTGAGCAACTATATATAAGCTCACACGCAAAACTTTTCAACTTTTGATTTTTGTGTGCTTGACTGTTTTAATTTTTCGTATGTTGATATTGTAACAAATATTTCCAATTTCTTCATTTTCATCAGTATTCCACTTTGTTAAAAATAAGCAAGCACGAAGCCACGCGGAATCAAACCTAGCACCCCAAACAAAAGTGCATGGTTCGATAAATTCATTTTTGCCAACTATACCACTGCAGGACTATATCATTTTGCTATATCGTAAGCATTTATAAATTATTTAGTTCAAATCCATGTATTTAAAATACAACTACAAGCATATATATGGACGCATTTAAAACTTTCGTCTCAACTATTTTAATAGCTTAACTCAGATGTTGGTGTGTAAGAATGTCAAATTTTTATCCAAGCGTTTATTAGCCGACGATATGGGCAAGAAAGTAAGGAAGCAGCCAGTTAAAATAATTGCTAACACGTCTACTGCCCACTGCTCACTGATGGTCTAGAAGATTACACACAGTTGCCCAATAAATAGGAAAAATATATATAGCAGATTTTGAGAAGGATAAGTATAAGAAAATGTTTTTGGCAGTAAATAGATATATATATAGCAAAATGATAGTAATTGTCCGAAAAGAAGCGCAATTGCGAGAAGCGGGATTGTTTGTTTGACCTATAAAGTTATTCTTGGTCTCGCACCAAATATTAATTTCAGGAATATTTGAAGTGGCAATTATAATAGCCCCGCTATTTTTCATAATCTTATGCACTCAGCGTCCTCATCTGCGTTTAGACTTTTCCTAGAAACCAAGCCATTTGTTTGCAATTTTCCTCCAACAGCTGTGCTGTCTTTTGTTGTAAAAGGAACACCTAAAAAAGCTTTGGATTTCAGTTCGCTTTCAGAATATTCATTATTATCTGGTCTGCGGTTGACGACAAGTTAGCAATGGTTTATTATTGTTTACAGCGTAATAGCCATTCAACTCGCCAATTCATTATTTTGTACTGCTTTCTTCAGATGAAAACCTGTAGAAAAAAAATGCTATAAAGCCCGTAGTGCTATCGCCCAAAAACAGAGATTCCTTCAAAAATAGAATCCTAACAATAATGTTAACGTGCAAAACAGACGCGTTAAGACGTGTTAAAAGCGGCGCTAAGATTTTAAGACGTGTTAACACCGACGTTACGTAAATAACTTGCGAAAAACATAGTAGTGAGTATGTGAGATTCGGCACCCGCCAAATAAGACTAATTTTTTTCTTTGGATTTGTGATGAATGATGCTTTTAATCAGTCATCAAGCCTGCGTCGTACATCTCACTAAATATTTTTTGCAGAATATTTAGACTGCCGTTATTTATCAGTTTTATAGTGTGTATCGATGCTTAGATGCTAGTGCTTTAAGACCTTAGTGTTAGAATTTATTTTCTGACTTAATTCATAATAATAACAATAAAAATAATTCCATTTTTTTTATTTTCCCGTTATTGCCAAGCTTTGTATAATTTAAATTGGCTTAGACTTGATCAAATTAACGGAGACAGACAATAAATATTAATAATTTAAAAAATTTATTTTTGAATATCTGTTAAAGCACCAAAACGTTTGGCTAGTGTACTTAATGGAACAACAACAACAGCCACTAGATTAAAAGTTGTGCGTTTTATTGATTAAATTATTGCTTCTTTCCAATGGTCCTTTTCTATCGTGGTGCCGTTATCCTACAACCAAATCGTTCAACACGATACCTCGTTTAGACGCACGCGAATATAACAGCGAAAAATAATGTTGAAGTTTTATGAGATATTTCCATTTTTACATTCTCAAATACCATTGAGATGCTTCTAATACGGTGCCATTCTATTTCCAAAATAAATGTATATCAAAATTCAAAGTCCAAAACAACAAATCCATGCTTGCCCACACTTCCCTGGATTGTGTGTGTCTCTTTATATAACATGATATTTTTCAAAGGTAGCTACAATTAATTACTGATCTAATAGCGAGTTTACAGATTTTGAAATATGGACTTGCAACATGAACAGATATACCATTTTTTCAATGCAATTTTCGATCTTGTCTACATATAAAATATGTCACTATAACATTCAGCATCTTTAACTCTGGTCTGGTTGTTTTAGTATTCACGCTGTCTTCCTCTTCCGCTTATGAAATTTCTTAGGGTTGTCTTTTCTAAATCTGCTACTCACTTACATACGACTTAATATACACTATTTAACGTTTTTGCGGGTTAGTGGATTAAGGATGAACAAATATGTCGTTTATTAAATTTGCACCTTACTTACTCTTTGGTGTTAGGTAAAAATAAGCATATAAAACTTTTTTTTTATTATTTATGTTTATAAAAGTTAAATGGCAACGAGATCTTCGCTATAAAAAACTTAAGACATCTTAAACTAACGAGTTTATCATTTTTTAGAAGGACGAAGATATATATACATATTGTTATAAAATTCTCTTTTGGAAGATACAGTCCGTATCACTAGATTGTGGATATTTTGTTCAAGAAAAATACACTGTAAAGTTCTTTTATTTATATTTGTATTTCTTTAAATGTAAGTTCTTTTATTTACATTTATATTTCTTTAAATGTAAGATTATTCACAATTTATTTTTGACGATACTTTGGACTGCTTCACTCAAATATTTTTTTTTTTACTATCTTGTCTTTCACAAATATTCTGTTTATATGAATTTTTACCATCATGTTACTAGTACCTAATTTTATGATGATGTTTAATTCACCTGCTTTTCTGGTAACCGTTTTCATCGGCCGGCAGCTGCATGCTGCGAATGTGCATTTAGTTTTTCCCTTTTTAGGGGTTTTATTACTTCGCTGGAATGAACAGGATTTGGGATTTCCGTAACAATGTATATACACGTAAATATTATATACAATGTATATTTATTGTTCACCTGCGTTATGTTCATATTGGCGGCATTACAAATACAAATGTGTGTGCCGCCATATTATTCCATAAGCTTTGCTTTTTACAATCAGCGAACATAAAACTTCGAATCCTTCAATGTGAAATAATGATGGAAAGAAAGAGAAATTATACTTTCTACTTATTTATTGTTTGACTTATATTTATATATACATACTTATATCTATACCAAGGCCCATATTCACATAAAAATACGGAATTTTGTATGATTTTGCTTTGTAAACGTTTGAGAGAAATGTGCCATCATAACTAGAAACTATTAACAACAGTTTTGGCCAAGGTTATAAGCTAACCTCGATGACGCCAAAGATTGGTGGTGGTTTCTTGGGTAAACTATTTGGTAGAAGTACAAATGGTGTTTCGGTGCAGTTAGTTATCAAAACCTCGCCACAGGGACAATATATGGGGTAAAGTGGGCGAAGGAAAAACTACTTTAATGGATTTGTTTTTCGATTGTCTAAAGACGTTAATGCTGGTTATTTTCACAAAAGTTCTTACAAAACCTGCTCTTTATTATGCAGATTAAATATAAAAAAAATAGGGTTCACTTCAACGCGTTCATGACGGATGTGCATGCACGAATTCATGAAACGAACCCGCAGCAAGGACCGTCGCTTAGAATATCCGATATTGAAAATCCTCAACCCTTTGATCCGACATTGCCAGTTGCTAGGGCAATAGCGCGCGAAAGTTGGCTAATATGCTTCGATGAGTTCCAGGTCACTGATATAGCTGATGCTATAATTTTGAAGAGTTTATTTACGCGTCTCTTTAATGAGGGAATTGTTTGCGTAGCCACTAGTAATCGTCATCCGAAGGATATCTACAAAGATGGATTGCATCGTAGCCATTTATTGGTGTGCTGCTTAACCGTTCCAAAGTGGCGAATATGGACAATGGCGTAGATTACAGAAAAATAGCCCAATCTGGTGATCGTGTATTGAACAGTCCATTTAAAGAATTTTGTGATCGGGTACTTGGTACATATTTCTTACATTTTCCAGCCGTTAGCAGGCAATGATTACTTACAATTCGCCCAAGTATTTCAAAGCAAAGGGATGGACAAAATGAATGTTATGTCCGATTTCCATCGTTAGTTGCAATCCGTTCGATATTTTTAGCACTTTTCTTTGAATTATATCTATGATCTGAGAAGGTTGCTGAAGCTAGAAAACGTAAGTTAAAAAGATATTTTAAAAAAGTCCACGGGAATCAAATGATAAGATTATATTGTGCAAATTAGTTAAAAGTTTTGAAAAAAAAACTTAATTTTATTTTAAACTGTTGCAGGCAAGACCAGACGTTTAAAGCAAGCTAAAGAAGAGGCTACCGAAGAAATTGAAAAAAAATTGAACTAAACGAAGCGGACGTTTAAATCCGTTTTTTTTATATTTACTTCTGTGTTCTTCCTCAAAATATGAAATATATGAAGTCTTTTCCCAAATCCTTCATTAGGCGCACGTCTTCCTCCGTAGTTCAAATTATTCTTGCTTATGCAAAAAGCTAAAAAAAAAAATTCACAACTTGTGCAATGTGTTAGTAAAGTTCTATACATTAAAAAAAAAAAACAACCCTTAGCTTCATTCTTTCTTTTATCTCTTTTATTTCACGTGACTTCCCAGATGTTTTTTCAATAGCCTGTGTTGCTAGTGCTCAATGTCTTTTTTTTAGTCTAAGAATTCAATTCATTAGTCTAAAATTAAAATAATAATAATAGTAATAATTAGATTTAAAAAAACACTGGTTGTATTGTAAGTCTTCTTTAGTTAATTCTTGTAGCTCAGCTTTGCTTAAAAGTTTAACTTTTCCATTAATTAATCTTCAGTTGCTGACATACTTCTGAAAAAAGAAATGAGCACGACGACGGCATACCATCATATTAATAATCAAATTTATCTACCTTCATAGAGTACAAAGAGTCTAGTATTAAGACTATTCCAAGGTTTTTTAGTTTTTAAGCAATCGGAAAGGAAATCTCTTGACATAACACGAGTTAAAAAATGTTAAAAAAAGAGTGTAATTATTGTTATCTTTTCAACAAAATATTTTTATTTATATTTCCCTGGTCGGTACACTGACGTGTTTTGACTCAAGGACGAACCCTATTCAAAAAAAAGTTTGGATTGCTTTGTCCGATTATTCCTCATACGACGCTCTATTTTCAAAAGTCATCATATGGAAAAGAATTCAATTATTAAAGTTTGTCGACAAAACTTGCTCTGTGATAGTATTCGGACATTCCAAATTGGTATGAAAAATTTGCTTCAGCTGAGGCACTTGTTTGCACCCTCCCCCATATAACCGTTTCTACGACAACTGAATCTTTATATAGAAGATAGATATAATTTTTAATGTGTCGTGGTGAAAATTACTTCATAATAGTAAATTGACATAGACATTAGCCTTACCGAATTTGGACCACGAAGGTCTAGTAACAGTAGTGCCTTCAGATCAATTCAGGCATGCGGTTTGAACATTCCGAAGAGGTATGAAAATTGTTCAATCATTGAATCGCTGCCAAGCCAATATCATTGCCAGAAAGAAGGGGGAAAATTGTAGAAAATATTTTGATCAACATATATTCTATTCATTTTCTTAATAAATGCCATTTTCAAGTGAAAAAATGGCCAAAATATGGAAGCAACTAACATTTATGCCTTTTGCTTTAGCGGAGAAAATTGTGTACATATGGAAACTTCTGAAATTAGATTTCGAAGTGACTAATTACAGCAACAGATTGAATGGCCTTTTCGCACATCCTGTAACCATCACGAAGTTCGATTATTTGGAAAAGATGAAGCTCTTTCTGAAGCAATTGGTGGATTTTGTTCCGCCTCAACTTCGCTCATATGAACATATGGACATTTCATTTTGCTGTGTTCATATATTTATATCTTTCATTTATTTTATAATTTGAAACGTATAGTAAGGAAACATCACTTTTTTTTAATTTTTGATAACTTTGCGATTGTGGTGTCTTTTATCAACTGCCAATTCGCGAAGATTTTCAAAAACTGTTTGATTAATTGTGATTTTTATCCATCTCAATTCGCAAGCATCTGAGAGTAATTTAAATGAGCGGGTCTGAAAACCACCTCGATTCGCAGTCATATGAGAGTAATTTAAATGAGTGGCCTGAAAACCACCTCGATTCGCAGTTATATAAATTGTGTATTAATAATTTGTACACACGTGCAATATGGTATGAACAAATGATATGAAAATGAGTAAGAAAGATTAAAAGAATTGAAGTGAGCATATTTACTGACGTTTGTGCGCTTTGTATGCGAAAATTTTTGATCATTATAACACGGATTGGATAGTAAACGCACAAAAGTAGAATTTAATATTATAAAAAATAGATTAGCTGTAATTTCTGATAAGAGTGATGATGAAACTTAATTCTGCAACCGTAATAAGCCGTTTCTATTTATTTATAATAATTACTATTATCCTTTGAACGTGTTTTTTGTTTTATTTTTCATTTTTGTATTTCACGTTTTTGTTTTCCATTAAAAACTTGGAGGTAATGTAGAATATGTAACGAATTTGATATTTAAGCTTTGCAAGGATGAAAGTATTTTTGTTTATATCGTGGACTTATCGCTCGTTTTCCGGCCTGGCTCATGGGAAGGGTAAAAAAAATTTAATTAGTTTCATGATAATTCCTTTGTTACGCTACATATGTTTCATTACTTAAAAAAAAACCTGCTTACTTCTAATTTTGAAATTTTTTCCCGGATATATACAATACTATGCCCTACCAATACTGCTTTTCCTTCACCCCTCAGTCACCCCCAGGAAGTCTCACCAGCTATTCAATACTTTTAATGATAATATATTTTTTTTATTTTCCAAAAAAAAGGAATAAAAGAAAAAATAACAAAACGAAATTATGAAGTTAAATATAATTAAACTATTTTATCTAAATCTAAAAAACAAAGTATCACAATTCAGGGACATTTATATTTTTTTCCTTTTTTTTTTACAAGAAGTAAATTATTTACAATATAGAGTAATAAAATTATTTTTAATTGAGGTTACTCAGATTTATAATAGAAAAGAATATTCGCAAATTTAGATTAATTTAATTTGATAAATAAAAGCAAACTTTCCAAATCAAACAACCTCCTCGATGCGCATCGCCGCAGCTAAATGATTTTTTATCAGATTATACATTTTAAAATTTTTGATTAATAATAAGAAAAATAAATACAAAAAAAAATTGTAGTTTATTGATTCGATGAGACCCGTAGCCGTTTGGCAGATGGATATTTTTAACGCCTTAGGGATGATTGGGAAAAAATTGATCCTTAGAGCCACGTATTTATTTCAATTACTAACATGTGAGTGGATCAACTCGACAGGTTTGGATTTTTTTTTGTATTTTCTACTTTTGAATTATAACTTGCATGTTGTTAGGGTCGAAATTCGTAATATAGATTTATTCACAATATAGCTAAGTAAATTTTCACTCTTTGTAGTTTTTTAGCAAGAAGTTTCTGTTATTTTTTATTTTTTTCTTCCTTTGAAAAAAAATATCAATGTAATGATAGTTCCCTTTAAAAATGTAAGGGAAAACCAAATTTTAAAATCTCCAAACACTGACAAATCAAAACTGAGTTTATAATCACTTCAAGTGAGCACATAGCTGTTCGTTTGAAATCCCTCCACTCCCAAATTTTCTTTCTCTATCCGCCAAGAAAAGTCAAATTTTCTTTTTTTTTTGTCTGTAACAAATAACAACTTTTATTTTTTTTTATTTTTTAATTGTTTTATATATTACCGTGCCTACTACAGATTATCGAGTCATCGTATTCTACTTGTTACTCACTTATTAATCAGTTATGCTAAATTTACATTTTGTTATATTTATTTCTTCATAATGTAAACCTAGCTATAAACTTGTTAAGATAACTGTTCAGACGAAATCGCGAATGGCTATACTATTTCGGTTTCTTTTTGTTTTTCCTTTTTTTTACTTTTGTTGATTTATTACACATATGCCTTTTCAATAAAATATATTATTATTATTGTCTCTTGCTTTGTCATGTAAATAAGTCTTTTCTTGTGCTCCTACTTTATCATCTTAAAGAGAAAAGGTTTTGCTTAAAATGTCATAATTTAAAATACTATACTCCCTTTCTCGTAAGCAAGCAACTTGCAACATCTACATTTTGGAGGCCCCGGCGAGATAAGTATCTTAAACAATTTCCATAATAATTACGTCAATTAACCACGTGCTTTTTCATGGATGATCAAACGGATTAAAAACTGGAGTTGATGTCGTGCAATGCTCCAGCAAAAAACTTGATAAAGCGCTATTAGCTTTAAAGGTCCGTCGTACGGTGCAAATTGACCGTGTCAATCATTTTGTAAAACGTATACAAGAAGATTCGAGTGGCGTTTCTTTAGATGAATTAAATAGAAGGCTCAAAGCTTTAGACAGTGCTTTTGATGCTTTCAACAAAATACAAACAAAAATTGAAGAAAAGGGTTTTAATGAAATCCTCAACCAAATAGATCAAAATGTGAAGAATTACATTACTGTATAGCAACAACGTTAAAAGTGTGCACATAAAGACCCAACAATTCAGATTCGAACCAAATACTTCATGTTTCCCATGCGATATTATCTGATAAAAAATACGACACTGTAAAACTGCAAAAATCGAATTACAAGAATTTTCTGGTGATGTCACTACATGGATAGCTTGGTTCGATAAATTTACATCATTGGTGCACAACAATGAAAGGCTTAACACCTCTTAGTATCTAAGTTGAGTCCGGCCGCAAAGGCTCCCATAGCTGGCATAAAAATCATTGCTGAAAATTATGAAATAATATTACAAGATTGAAAGACCGCTTTGAAAACAAGAAAATTATTGGGAAGCAGCATATCAAACAAATTTTTGATCATCCTAAGATCATTCATGCGAATGCAGCTGATTTGCGAGAATTAATCGATACCATGAATAATCACCTTATAGGTTTGAAAAATATTAATCGTCCAGTTGAATCATGGGACGATCTTATGGTATACATCATAACATCTAAGCTTGATCCCGATACATTGAATAAGTGGAATGAAAAGGCGCCAATTGATCGTTTACCAACGCTGTCTGAATTATTAAATTTTTTTAAAGGACGTTTTCTGTTAAGTTCTGTTCCTTTACCCGGTGGTGCTCCCACTAACCGTGCTATAGAGCCAAAAAGGGTTCAAAGAACAGCAAAGTCTTTTGTTACCATTAAAAATTGCTGCAGCTTTTGCCAAAAACCGGGTCATGTTATATATCGCTGTTCTGATTTTTTAAGCTTATCTGCTGCTGACAGATTGAACAAAGTACATGCACTTAAACTTTGTGTCAATTGTCTTAAATTCAAAAAACATAATATATCTGATTGCACCTCTAAAGGTCGTTGTCACACATGTGGCAAAGGCCATCATTCACTATTGGATTTTGAACGCCCGCAAGTGGCAATTTACACTGCTTCAAAACATAAACAAATCAATGAAACAAATCATATCGAACTTGCAGAAAATACAAATCATAACATGAGTGATCAAGCACAACCTAAAAATTTTGCTGCTTTGAAAACACCCAGAACGAAATATACTAGCTACAGCAATTGTTTATATTATATCGAAATACAACCAATGCTTTCCTTGTCGTGTTCTATTGGATGGTGGTTCACAAATTAATATGATTTCTGAACGCATGGTTCATATGACCGGTCTAAAACATCAATACGCCCCAAATCAATTTCAATGTGCAAATAAAACTGTGGGAACATCAAAATTTAAATGTATCACAAATATTGAATCGCTACTTAAACCATTCTCGGTTACTCTTGAAGCTCACATAGTTGACCAAATAAGCGGAACCCTTCCTGATGCTGAAATCGATATTTCAAACTGGAACATACCAGAACATATACCTTTAGCAGATGAACGTTTTAATATACCACAACGAGTCGACATTTTATTGTCCCATACTAACCAATACACCTTTAGGCTGGTTTGTCGCGGGAACACTTCCACACCATGCAAATTCAATTGCATATGTCAAGTGCAACTCATTACAAATATCTAACGTTCAACAAAATGATCACCTGTCTGATGCTATTAAAGCATTTTGGGAAATTGAAAGTTTTAAGGAATGTTCACCAAAATTATCACAAGGAGAAGAGCAGTGTGAGTTACATTTTCAAAATAATTTTACGAGGTTGCCAGACGGACGGTTTGGTGTAAAGTTGCCTTTCAAATCATCAACATCCTTATTGGGTTACTCTTACGACATTGTTTTTAAACGCTTTCTGGCACTTGAGCGAAAGTTTGAAACAAATAAACAATTACGTAGTGATTATACTAAATTTATAAATGAATATATTCAACTTTCACATATGGAAATTGTACAATTATTTGATTTTTCACAACCACATTACGTGTTACCTCACCAATGCGTACATAAACTTTCGAGTTCCACAACAAAGTTACGCGTCGTATTTGATGCGTCATCAAAAACCACATCTGGTAAATCTTTGAACGAGCTTCTTATGGTTGGGCCAGTAATTCAACGTGATTTATTTACGGTAGCTTTACGGTTTCGATCTTACACTTATGTATTCACAGCTGATATAACTAAAATGTATCGTCAAATTGCTCTCGATCCTGATGACAGGCGATACCACTTTGTGTTATGGCGTTCACAAGGCGATCGAGCAGTACAGCTATACCAACTAACTACAGTTACATATGGAACTGCATCTGCATCATTTTTAGCCACACGCGCATTAAAACAATTAGCTATTGATGAACTACATAATTTTCCATTAGTTGCAAATGCTATAAACACAAATTTTTATGTAGATGATCTACTAACGGGTTGCAATACACTTCATGAAGCCATGCAATTACAAGCACAATTAATTTCTATTTTATCTAAAGGAGGTTTCAGCCTAAACAAATGGTGTGCAAATCATCAAGATTTGATTAAACACATTCCTAAAGAAAATCGTGAAACTTCATTCACCATTAAAAATTCAAATGCGATCAAAACTGTTGGAATTGTTTGGAATCTTGCAAAGGACAAATTTCTTTACAAGATTGATATAAAATTCAACGAAAATTATACTAAAAGAACAATTTTATCTGAAATTTCACAATATTTTGATCCGATAGGCCTAATATCGCCAGTCATAATAATGGCTACAATTTTCATTCAACAATTGTGGCGGTTAGATTTGGGTTGGGATGACGAATTGCCTATTGAATACCAGATGGCGTGGTCAAATTTTAGACGGCAATTATGTAATTTGATCGATTTAGAAGTAGATCGCTTAGCATTCACCTCTGATGCAAAATATGAAATGCATGCGTTCTCTGACAGTTCAGAAAGCGCATATGGTGCATGTGTATACATCAGATGTATAAATAACGATACGAAAATAACTTCAAATTTGCTTTGTGCTAAATCAAAGGTGGCACCTATCAGGAAATTTAGTTTGCCAAGATTAGAACTCTGCGCTGCTGTAACAATGGTACAACTCGTTAAGAAAGTTCAAGAAGTTTATGATTTTATACAATTTAACAACATATCAGAAGACTCATGCAATTGGAGTACCTTTATTGCTAATAGGGTGCCAATCATTCAACAAGTTTCAACACGCTCGCAATGGAGACATATTCCGTCCAATTTAAACCCAGCTGATATATTATCTCGTGGTGTGTTACCAGCTGAATTAATGCATTCAACATTTTGGTTTCACGAGCCAAATTTTTTAATGTTAGCTTCGTCTATTTGGCCACAATTTCCATATAATTTAAAATACGATGATAACATATTAGAAAGAAAGATGATATTAACAACAACAATTTCACAACAACATGATTTAATCATTAGTATTAAATTTCACAACGATTATGTACATTTGCTTAACACAGTCGCTTACATGCTGCGTTTTATATATAATTGTGAATTTAAGGCTAAAAGAAAATACAGTTCATTGGATGCTACAGAGCTTGACGCATCTCATCTAAAAATTATCAAATACATACAAATCATTTCTTTTCATGCTGAAATTGCAGCTGTACAAAAGGGTGCTAACCTTAATGCCAAAAGTCATATACAGTCTTTATCACCATTCCTTGATAATAACGGTTTACTAAGAGTGGGTGGCCGATTAAGAAACTGTAATCTGGACTTCAACAGTAAACATCCTATACTATTACCAAAAAATTATGCTTTTACGTATACACTAGCACGTTACTATCATAAAATTAATCATCATGTTGGCCCACAAACATTACTAAGCATAATTCGTCAATCTTATTCGCCAATCCATGACAAGGTTATCTGTCGATCTATATATCGAAGTTGTGTCTTATGCTTTCGTACTTATTCAACTAAACAGAACCATCTTATGGGCGATTTAACTGATTTCAACAATCAAGACCGTTTAATGTAATAGGTGTCGATTTTTGTGGTCCATTTCAAATATATTATGGCAGCCATGGTATTGTTTCTACAAAAGGCTATATATCTGTTTTCATATGTTTTTGTACAAAGGCCACACATTTAGAGATGGTAGAAGATTTATCTGCTCAAGCTTTCTTAGCTGCTTTAAAGCGTTTTATTGGGCGACGTGGCCTATGCTCAGTGATTTACAGTGACAATGCAACTAATTCTATTGGTGCAAAAAACAAGTTGCATGAATTTGACAAAATGTTTAAAAATACAGATATTATATTTAATGAATGTGCTTCACTTGGCATAATTTGGAAAATCATACCTCCACGCTCTCCGCATTTTGGTTGCCTTTGGGAGGCTGCAGTGAAGTCCACTAAATTTCATCTAAAAAGGATACTACAAGATGCGGAATTTAACTTTTTTGAACTCAACACACTTTTAATACAAATTGAAGCGGTATTAAATTCAAGACCTATCACTCCCGTGGCTGAGAGTCCAAATGACGAACCGGCTGTAACGCCTGGTCATTTTATTATCGGCTCTGCTTTAAAAACCATAGCTGATCCCGACTTAAGAGATGTCAACAACGTAAGCCATTTACGGCGTTATCAAAGATTGCAATATTATCCGCAACAGTTTTGGGACAGATGGTCTAAGGATTATTTACAAACGTTGCAAAATCGAACCAAGTGGACAAAAGGTCGCATGTCATTAGCGGTTGGGGACGTTGTTGTTGTAGAGGAAGACAATCTTCCTCCTCAAAAATGGCGCCTAGGTCGTGTTACTGAAATTCATCCTGGCAATGACGGAGTTGTGCCGGTTATCACTGTTCAAACTTCCAGTGGCGAAATACGTAGAACTTCTACTAAGGTTCGACGTCTACCTATTGAACGGACCGAGTCCATTCAAGGGCCCGGGATGTTCAGACGAAATCGTGAATGGCAATACCATTTTAGTTTTTTTTTTTGTTTTTCCTTTTTTTACTCTTCTTGATTTATTACACATATGCCTTTTCAATAAAATATATTATTATTATTATCTTTTGCTTTGTACTGTAAAGAAGTCTTTTCTTGTGCTCCTACTTTATCATCTTTAAGGGAAAAGGTTTTGGTTAAAATATCATAATTTAAAATATTATACTCGCTTTCTCATAAGCAAGCAACATGCAACATCTAGAATAATCTTATTTTGCTTAAGCTAGCACAACAATTTATATATAAGACACTGATCAGAGTTGAGTTAATACCGGAAAAGAATACTTATTTCGAATAGAAAATTGTAAGAATATAAAATAAAATTTTGATCATAAATTGTACACCTTGTAACGTCCGCGAACAAAGTTCAGGGAGGGTGTCTGTGAGTCCGCTTTTGCCGTCACAATAACGGCATGCCGTTATATGACATCGCATGATCTTACCGATTCCCTACATAATAGCGGCTAGCCTTTAGGTAAGCAAAAGAGAACAGAGGGAGAAAAATCATGCGAAGAAATTCGGTAGTGGTTTTTTTCGTTTTGCTGATTGTTAGAGGAGTTGAGTTGTGGAAGTCAACGAGCAAACATCTCCAAAGGAAAAAAAAAAAAGGACCAAAAAATTTTTAAAAGTGAAAATACGTTTTGTTCTAAAACTTTCAAATGGGAATCTAATGGAAAAGAAGCCAAGTAAAAAGCAAATTAAACTAAAACAGTAAACTAAAGAAGAAAAGTTAAACAAATTCACTTGCAACCGTTAAGAGAAGCATAAAAGATTTCAATTTATTTTACATTACATGTCTTAATTGAAAAAAAATATACATTAGAAAGATATTGTTTTTTATGTTAATTTTTTATTGGTCAAAAGAAAAGGAGTTCAGCTTTAACTACGCAAGCAAACGGCCATAGGCAGAAAAAACAGCGGTGAAAGAAGAAAGAATGAAAAAACTAATAATTGAAGCGAGAAAGCCATTCTTTGTAAAAATACTTGCAATGTGAATAATAAATGTTAAGCTCCGACAGTTGTTAAGGGCAATAGTGAATAGAAAAAAAAACTTTAAGAATATTATTTAAAGAAAAAAACAAGGAACAAGAGTAGAAAGCGCCTGCATATTAAAAACAAACTCAAGACAATTTTTATGCAAGAGATTTTGCTCAAATTCTAATACACGTGTGCGTGTTTGTATTCATATGGAAAACGAAACATATAGATGTGCAGAGTACAGTTTATTTGGTTGAAAAACAGATCTTAGAATATGTAAACTCCTGTTATTAAAATTCATGGATTGCTGAAAAGCTTTTAGCTTCGTGTTCCATTCGTTGACCTTTTATTGCTTTATATGCTTTATTTTTTTTGTTATATGGTTGCAAAAAAAAAGGAAAGAAAAAAGAAAATTCGGTTAACTCTCACTTTAGTTGCATGAGTGTGGAAATTTTAAGGAATTAAAGTGTTGATCAAATCTTGGAAGCTAAAATTTGGAAATGAAATGAATCAGCATTCAATGGTTTTTATTCTTGGGGTGGAGCTTACAAGATCTCGAGGAAATGAAATGAAAAAGAGAAAGACACATATATTCGGAAAGAAAATGTAAAATTCAAAGCCGTAAACATTGGCATGTTTTTTTAAATTAATTTCATGAACAAAAGAAAAGGAAAAAAAAGCAAAAGGCTGGCCAGAGCAGGAGCATATGGAAAATAAGCGAAATAATGTTCATAAATAAATAGTTTTTACAAATGATTAGTGAATAGGAATATTGTCATCTGTAGTACGTAAATAAAAGTTCGTAAATAAAAAAAAAAAAAAAACAACTTGGTCGTTCTGTAAATTAAGTATGGCGATTAAAAATTATGTGGCACGGCATTAAACTATTAGTGGAAGTCATGAAACATTGAAAATTGATATAAGACAGCTTTGGTAATCGTTGCACCGGCAGACGGTAAGACGAAAAAGGCTTTAATGGTTGGCAGACATCCAGTAAGCGGCTTCAACGAGAGGAGCAGTCCCACCGGTGTTGCACATACACCTAATGCGGCTCGAAGGACCACCAACGGGTGAGCTAGAGTCAATATTTTGGGGTACCCATTTCTTTCATTTTGTTTTTGTTTCTTCCAAAAACCAAAGCCGAGGCGGGGTATCGTATGTATCGAGTGTGAGTGGGGGTAGGGAGACTGAGCACAGTGACGGACGGACTAAAAACGGAGCAACGTACGGTGCGGACAACAGACCTCATAAGCGGACTTATACCGTTTTTTTCAGAATTAAATATTATTTTTTATTTTTGCATTTCCCTTTTTTTGTGTTTTTTTATTATTGTCATGCGGCCCAGCATGCCAGGTCAAATAAATTATCCGCTCTACCGAAAGCTGAGCTGGGCCTCGTGAAAACCTTTACACTTGGTTTCGATACAACACAGGACACATTGCGTTGATTTACAGTATTTCAGAATATCTTTTAAAAATTCAATACAAGACGAATAAGGTTAGAACACCGCACGGTGTACACTATTGTGATCTATGTTATATCTAAGTTTAAATTTTGCCCTTCTATGCGACGTTTTACGTTAAAGATAAAAACAGAAAAGGTTCGTATAACACGGATTCGAATTAATCATGTTAAACGAGGAACACCTGTATATGAAAAGACTGTCGATTTATAAGTAGGTTTACTTAGCGATGTATATGATGAGGTAGGTGTATGCATATATTTTTATATACACATATACATATATATGCTATATATATATATATATATACGTAGTTGTACGTAGTTGTACGTATATATATATACGTAGTTGTAAAAGAATGTAATGAATATAAGGTATTTTTACCACGAATGTGGAACTAGACATCACGTAGAGAACTAAGAGGCATCGTAAAGTTGAGTATCTTACCTAAGTTGTTTGAGCGAATGGTTACTCAGTATCTAGTTGTTGCTATTGAATCTTATATATCGCCATTCCAGCAAGGCTTTCGGAAAGAAACATCTACTGTCAGGAATCTCTTAGAGTTTAGATTTTGATTTGGTTCAACATAATTTATTGATTTTCAACCTGTAGACCTCTGGCTTCCCTTTGTACTTTGTGAAATGGATAAGTTCGTATCTGCATAATTCAGTGTTCTGTTTAGCTTCATCACGTCGGATGACTTTTCCGTGACGTTTGTCGTTTCTCAAGGCGACCATTTAGTACCCCTTTTATTTAATGTATACATTAATGATCTCCCCTTGGTGATTGAATCCAGGCAGATGTTAATGTACACTGACGATGTTAAAATGTTTTCTTCCTTCTGCTTGGAATCACAGTCGTATCAGCTTCAAACTGATTTAAATAATTTGATTACATAGTTTTCGTTAAATTTTATGAAATTGAATCTAAAAAAATGAAAGAAGCTTTCTTAAGAAGGAAATCATTCAATACTGAGCATTTCATTGATTCATTCAAGGATTCGTTCATCGACTTCAGGGTTTATTCGATTACAGATTTCCTTTCGAATTTGCACATTGAGCTCTCTTCAAGTAAAGCTAGGTCCGCGCTTGGTTTCATTAATAGGTAGTCCAAAGAGCTTTTGGGTTGCGTTACCTAAGCGAATCTCGCTGCATCTAGCTCTTTGTTTTTTTCAATGTGATTCATTTTTGTACATGAGTTTCTAAACCAAACATGGATGGAAGAGGATATAAAAAATAAATGCGCATAAGCCTGTGAACAGAATACTGATCAATACCGCGCTTGGTTTCATTAAAAAGTGGTCCAAAGAGCCGAAGTATCGTTAGATTACAAAGAACCTATATACGTGCTTAGTTAGACCAACACTTGAGTATGCCTCGGTTGTGTGACATCTCTTCTATAGGTATTATGTAAATTCAACTGAATCAGTTCAAAACTATTTCTTACTACATGCCCTTGGAAATTTGGGTTGGGATTCTCTGCTATCTCCGCCTTCTTATGAAAATAGGTTATTTTTATTATCCCTACCAACACTTGAGAAAGGTAGATTTATTCTTACTAATTAAGTTAGTAAATGGTACCATC